CCCACCTTGTAAGGTGGGCACGTTTCCACAACATAATTTGTGGGGCCTCTCGACTTTCAATTTATGGGTTTCCTGTTCGTCTCTCGATTGAGCTGATGAATCATAACTTATTTAGACTGATTCATTTTCTTGTGGTTTTTTAACGATTAAGGTTTCGAAAATGAGTTATATCCAATTATACTACCTGATTCTGAAGAAATCAAACAAAACCCTGCCCTACTCAATGGCCACATAAATCATGAAAATTTTATTCGTTAACATCCCTATTACATGCCACCTAAGTTTAATGTCTAGTAATAACAATTTATTTTTAATAAAAAAAAAAGAGTTTAAATTGATATTAAATTTACAAGATTTTTTAAAAGTGGAAAAATGTTTGAAAATTTTCAACCAATAATCCCATACATAACTATGTATGTAGTTCCAAAATTATTAATAATAATAAAATAAAATCAATGTCGTATTGGAAGGGTTACAAGAGTTGAAAAGGAGAGAGAGACATCTTTCAACATCACCTAGAAAAACTTGAAATCGAATTTTGACTTTTAATTAATTGCTCGCATGTAAAATATGCATGGAACAACTTACTTTATTTTAATTTCGCAACATTATTATTATTATTGATTGTTTTACCACTTTTATTTGTTTTACTTTTACTATACGCTATCTAGAACCAACCATAGAATTATTGAATTGAAAATATGGGAAAGATTCTAGATTCTAAGACCATTAGAACCTAATACTATACTCCTAAGTCGTAACTTTTAAGATTTACCATTCTGCATGCTTTATATATATATATATATATATATATATATATATATATATATAGAGAGAGAGAGAGAGAGGATGGTTCATGTGATAACATCTCCCTTGTAAAAAGTATAAACATATCAACGTATTCTATGAGAAATCAAATGCTAAATTTTTACTATTACTAAACTTTTAAATTGTAATAATTATAAAATAAACACTCCCTATATATAAATCTTTAAGGGTAGGTGAATGGGTAAAACATAATTCTTATAATCTTGCCAACACATTTTCTCTCACTCAACTTCCGTCGCTTAATTAGTTATTTTAGGGATGTTAGATTATATAAAAACTTTTTTTAAAAAAATAATATGCTCTCCTAGTTAAATCACGCACTCTATAAATATATATAATATAATGTTCATCTATTAGTGTAGCATTACCTATAAGTTTAATTTTTCTTTTTTAGATTTTCATTATTTATTGTGAATTAATTAATCAATCCCACTACACGTTAATAAAGAGTTTTTACAATAATTAAATGCAAAAAAAAAAATAAAAAAAATCAAGTACCATGATGATGATGATGATGATGATGATATAATAATAATAATAATAATAATAATAATAATAATAATAATAATAAATAATAATAATAATAATAATAATAATATTATTATTATTATTATTATTATTATTATTATTATTATTATTATTATTATTATTATTATGTCAAGATGGGAGTGAATATTATGAGATGGTTTTATTAAGTGCTTATATAATGACTTTAATGTTGTATGTATTTGAATGTCATATTACGAAATGATTATAGTAAGTGGGGTTTGGTTCAGATTATTTCATGTATATAGCCCTTAGTAATGTAGGTATTGAAATTATATTTTATATACCATATATTATTTGTTTCTTGTGAGTTGCGAAAGATTTAATTCATGCTGGAAGTGATTTCAAATTCAATTCAGTTTTGGTCACATTTCTTAAAACTCTCATCTCTCAACTTTTTAAATAATGTGAAATGTTTGAAAACGTCGCTGTAAAAAATATATTTTTATTATAATGATGAATATGTCAAGTGTGGAATAATTTTTCTTACAAACGTCATGACCAAGGTAAAGCTCTAAAAAGCCAAATATGTAATGCATGCTTCTACTTTTTAGTATATTGTCGGACCTTTAATCACGGGAAAACAAATTTACCTTAAAAATTAAACTCAATTTCTAAAATATCACGAATTTAATTTTTGTCAATACCCTTTTAATTGAGTTTGTTATATAATAAGATTTTTTTAATGTGATTTATCTTTCTTATATAATTTGCAAGCTATTACATATATGAGCGTAATTCATTTCTGTATATCCTCAAATAGTGAAAATAGATTTCCCTTGTCACCTAAAAAATAATAATATGTATAAGTTATATCTGAATTGCTATCATATATACCACTGGGAATTGAAATTTTGTGATATGTGGGAATTGAATTAAAGTTGGGTTGTGAGGACTAAATTATCTCTCATAATGGATATTTTGATCTAAAAAAAAAAAAACTTAGATGTCACGCAATCAGCCTTCTGTGCGGCAAACTATTGTGTGGACTGTGGATCATGGATAATTGTGTGGACCGCGGTCTAAAATATCGTCGTGAATATGAGTAAAAATAATATACATTATGTGTTAAAATAATATACATTACGTGTTAGAATAATGTACATTATGTATTAAAATAATATACATTACATGTTAGAATAATGAAACATCTGGGTAATATAATGTATATTATGTTTTAAAATAATGTACATTATGCTTTAGAATAATGTACATTATATTTTAGAATAATATACATTATGGGTTATAAAAATGTATATTGCAGTTGGGCGCACGAAAAAATAAAATTAAGCAAAACGACGTCGTTTTTGGATCGTGATCTACACAGTTGTGTAGCCACGGTCCACGCAATAACTATTGTTCACGTGCGCCCACACTACTCTATTCAAGTTATGACCTTTAAGTTTAGCGACGAACCAACTACGCAGTCCCAGGGGGCTAACCAATGACTCAAAATTGTAGTAATTATATTATTACTTATTCCTTTTCAATTCTCATATAAACACAACAATATAATAGAAATTCTTAGTAATTATATTCCTACCAAACAACCAATATAATTTAAAATTCTACTTTATTTTCATATTATTCCTCTCCTATTGAATCGCAATCCCCCTCCCCCAACATCCGTTTCCTAATTAATTCCCTCATGGCAACCAAATATATCGTAAGAGTAACTAAACTTTGTGTGCAAAGCATTGAGAATATGAGGTACATAATTTATACTCGTAAGGTACAGATCAAATTTCATAACACAAGACAAAAAATCATAACACAAGAAACATACACATGTTATATATTTACTTATTTTTCAAATCTGATTTAGTTACATAACTCGTGTTCATAGACACAAAATTTCACAACACAAGACACAAAAATTCATATCATACGACACAATTATTAATTTGTTCTAAGTACAAAATTCATACTCATAAAGTACAAAATTTCATAATGCACGACACAAAAGTCATAATACAACTCTCTCGTCTCTAGTATTCTACACTGCCGCCGCCTCCGTGAAGCAAGCGGATCGGAGGCGACATCCGATCGTCTTCCCTTGCTGTCATCTCCACCACAGACAGCGTCCGCCTTCACCATTTTCTCATCCATCTCCACCGCTACCGGTCGTTACTCCCTTATACGTACTGTTGTTTCCCTTTAATACTTTGTTTTACTGGTTTAACTTTGTTTGCAGTTTATGTGTTTTTCCTCTCGTTATTTTGACGATTTTCTTCCTCTCGTTTACTTGGCGAGTTCTTTTTCATAAAGCGTGAAACGATAACACTAGTCATGGCGTATGTGAATCTCATCCTTGTGACAAACATGACAATGAAAAAGAGTCTTATCTGAACTATGATATGCAGTTTGGTCCGATGGAGATATTGTCAATGGATAGAAGAATGAAAATAGATACTCAAGTGGTGTGCATGACTATTCAACTAGTGTCAGTCTTGGGTACGTTTAACCAAATCATTAAAGAAGTTTTAAGTTCCTACAAAGAATTCAGCTTCAAATCAAACAGTCTGCGAATCAAGTTTCTGTAGCATTGCTAGGGAAGTTGATCAAATTTTATATAGCATTGCTAGGGAAGTTGTTTCTGTGTCTGACTGTAAGGAATGTTTGACCATTTCATCGATTTTTATTGTAAACTTTTCAGCCTATGATTAATGAATCAGCTTTTTATTTTTATTTTTATTTTTTTTTAAAAAGTCATAATACAAAACACAAACACATGAATCATGGTTTATAGTGCAGTGTGGCGCAAATTATGCTGTGCAACCAAATGCACCATGCGCATGGTGCATTCGATGCAAAACGACGTCGGTTTGGTTAAAAAACGCGCGTCCCACTTAAAGAAGAAATCAGGTTCGATTCCTGGCAATAGCATTTTTATATATCTATAAATTCATAACTATATATCCATAAATTCATAACTATATATCCACAAATTCATAACTATATATCCACAGTGAATGAATGAAGTAAAAATCCACAATGAATGAACTAAATATCCACAGTGAATGAATGAAGTAAATATCTACAATGAATGAACGAAATATCCATAAATTCATAACTATATATCCAGAAATTCATAACTATATATCTACAGTGAATGAATGAACTAAATATCCACAATGAATGAACTAAATATTCATAAATTCATAACTATATATCCACAAATTCATAACTATATATCCAGAAATTCATAACTATATATCTACAATAATGCTATTGTCGAGAATCGAACCTAATTTTTTTTTTAAGTGAAACGCACGTTTTTGGTCAAAACGACATCGTTTTGCATCGTATGCACCATGCGCATGGTGCATTCGGTTGTACAGCATAACTATTGGCAGTGTGGACTATGGTCCATGGTATACTAATTTGTATATTAGTAGTCCACGTTACAGGTTGGACCATTGTCCACGTTACTATTCTAATTGGGCTTAGGTTGTCAAATGACCCACATCTGGTATGGGCTTACTGCCCTGAACAGGCCCATTTCTAGTAGGTAGAGGGACGCCTCTGAATCTCTGATCATTCCCTGTATTGACCGTTAAAATTCCTGTTTTTCAGTTATTCAGTTTCTTGAGGATGGAAATTTTGTATTTTGGAAAAAAAAAATAAAAAATCTTTAGTTCCATCCGAAGATTGAAAATAGAAGAAATCCCCATTTCGCCTTTGTTATTTGTGAGTATCAATTTAATTTTCTTTTTTTTTTTTCATCTGCAATTTTATTCTTTTAATACGTGATTAATTACTCAAATTAATGTTTATGAATTCATCGCGATTTCGATATGATCAGGTAAATAGATAGAAAGAAGCAATGTCATATAAAGTAAATCATCAATACGATTACTTGTTCAAGATTGTATTGATAGGAGACTCGGGTGTCGGGAAATCTAACATACTCTCCAGATACACCAGAAATGAGTTTTGTTTGGAATCCAAATCCACCATAGGTGTCGAATTCGCAACAAAAACTCTCCAGGTTTATTTTATTTGAACTATTTTAATTTAATTAATTAATTATTTCTTGACAAAAATTTCTGGCTCCGCCCCGGAATACAGGTGGAGGGGAAGACCGTGAAAGCCCAGATATGGGACACGGCGGGGCAAGAAAGGTACAGGGCGATCACCAGCGCGTACTATAGAGGAGCGGTGGGGGCACTTTTGGTATACGACATAACCAAACGGCAAACCTTCGAGAACGTTCACCGGTGGTTGCGCGAGCTCCGGGACCACGCCGACTCCAACATCGTGATCATGATGGCGGGGAACAAGACCGACCTGAACCACCTGCGGGCGGTGCCGGAGCAGGAAGGGCAGGGGGTGGCCGAGAAAGAAGGGCTGTCGTTCCTGGAAACCTCGGCCATGGAAGCCGTCAACGTCGAGAAGGCGTTCCAGACAATATTAATGGATATTTATCAGATAATCAGCCGGAAAGCGCTGGCGGCGCAAGATGATGCGGCGGTTCCCGGTCAAGGAACTGCCATTAAGGTTGGGGAGGTTAATAATAATGCTGACTTGAACAAGAAACAAGGTTGTTGTTCTAACTGATCGATCTAAACGCACATATATTCATTTGTTGTTCAAAATTGTATTAAAGCCTGCAATCGCTCCTTTGTGACTATAGCTGGCAAATTGTATTAACTCGATAAGTATTAAAAAAAATTTGTTGTTTGTCTTATTTTATTTGCATATGTATTCTTATATCGTGAGATAAAGACTAACCAAATAGGTTTCGATTGATCCACACATACTTGTTGTGTTATTTCATTTTCATACTTATTGCTTACTTTAATCATATTACAACTATATGTTATCAATCATTCATGTATGTTTACGTAAATTAACACTTTTCAGTAAATAAAAACTAATCAAGTCGAGTCCAGATAGAAACGGATTTCCTTCTAGTTATTTAAGGCTTAAATTCCTGTTCCTTTGATTTTCGGTATGACATTTTATTACTTGATGTAAAGAGTATTTCCGTATGTCTCTAAATACGATTATCTTGTTTGTAAAACGATTAGCAAATAGGATTGCCCATTTATTAATTAAGAAGCCACTTTCTATGTCGGGTGTAATGAATGGTTTGATTATCCCCTTTTATTTGTAATATGTACGGTAATTATTGGTCATAGTTAATAAATTATCCCTTTTAAGTCCAATTTTGATTGCTGTATTATAACTATATTATCAATCATGCATATTTAATAAAAATTAAAAATTGAAGTAAATAAAAATTAATCAAGTCAAGTCTCAATCCATTCTAATCCAAAATTTTACTTTTCTAATTCAATCATGCAATTATATATATCCTCAAAAATTTTACTTTTCTAATTCAATCATGCAACTATATATATCCTCAAAAATTTTACTTTTCTAATTCAATCATGCAACTATATATATCCTCAACCATGCAAATATTCACGTGCAGTGGTTGAGAGAGGCACACGTTCACGTGGGCAAGAGATTACATACATTAAATTTAATTAGAGAGTTAAAAAAAATTTATGTGGTTTCAGATTCGTCGAATTAATCTTAAATTCACATGACTCCGTCTCTAGAGTTTTTGAGATGGTAAATTACAAGCCGCACAATCACTCCGCGAGTCATATCTTAATTTTCATGTGCGCATAAGGGATCTAATCCAGACCTTCAAGCATCTTTGGACAATTTTTTCCATACTTGTTTCTAGTAAATTTGAACCTCACACTATCGACTCATGTTATGCTTTAAGTCAGGATGCGAACCAATTACGCTAAACTTCGAGGGCAATTAGAGAATTTAATGCTATTCATGGATGTTAATGAAAGAAAAATTACATATTTTTATTTTATTTCTAAACACACACACACACACACACACAAAAAAAAAAAGAATCTATAATTATTATATAAAAATATATATCAAATAAATTTTCTTATGTATAATACTTTGTAAATTACATGAAAATAAAATACAATATTGTATTCTGTACTAAAAATATATTGTGCGATGGGCTCCACCTCACTTATTTTGAGGCAAATTACAGATGTTTTTTTTTTTGAAATACAGATGTTTTAATCACACTACTAAACTAATAAATGAAATTGAGATCGGTACAAAGTCCTTTTCAACCCGCCCGTACCTAAAACATCACAAAAACGTGGGATTTCTTTTCAAAATAATTGAAGAATCATGATTGTATTCAATGGTTAAAGTGCATGCATATTTATAAATCAAAATGCATAACATAAAGACATAAAGTTTTTCCTATTTTTCGCAATAGTCACGATAGATCTTTTCATAAATTAATTTTATTTCATTTTTGACATCTCAATTGTTGTAATATTTTTTACTTTTAATCTTAATTTGTTCCATTTTATTTTTCAAATATTCAGTTTGAAGTCTAAATATTCAAAAATATTATCACATTCGTGTATTTAATTTAATTATATTTTGAACTAACAATTGTACAACTTGATCTAAAAGACGGAAAATAAAATTAAAAATGTTAACATGATTGCAATACTAAAAATAAAAGGAAAAATTATCAAAATCGTTTTTAAAGTTGAACAAATAGTATAATTGCTTCTTGTAACTAACGTAAAGTTTCAACGAACCGCTTTAACTTGATAAAAAAAAATTACAATTGAGTTTAGTTGTTACCTACGGAGTTTATTGGTTGGACTCACATGCGAAAGACCTCATCAAGTCATCAACGTTCCACGAGGAAAATACTGGCACTCCATAGCAGTAAATTATGCTGTGGACATGTGCCCACCTTGCAAGGTGTGCACAGTTACACAACGACGCCATTCTAATTAAAAAAAAAATATTTTTCACTTATCGTTAACGTGTTTCTCTCTTCGCAATCGCACAGTTTAAAAATTATAAATTTACTGTATTTAAATTATGAATCTACAATATAGAATTATGAATCTACAGTATTAAGTTTGTGATAATGTGATAGAACATTATGTTCATAATTTTATAAATATATGTTCATAATTATAGAGCTATATGTTCATAATTTTTTATGTTCATATATCCAATTGTTGGAGTTGCAAAAAGCTAATTAACCAAACATTTATATTGATATTTTAACTAAATCAAACAATTAATAGTGATCAAATAAGTTAAAATTGACCTCTAGGCCATTTTTTTACCAAACAGGGCCTTTATGAATCTACAGTATAGAAATTATGAATCTACAACTGTGCCCACCTTGCAAGGTGGGTACGGTTCCACAGCATAACGCTCCCTCCATGGCAACCAGGTCCGAATTTTGGGCTATGCAACAGCACAGGGTCCCAAATTTTAGAGGGCCCCCAAATTTTAAAGAGCATTTGATCTTGAATGGATCACTAATTACTAATTTTAGTTGAATATTGTGATCGTTTATGGTTTGTGTTGAAGATCATGCATTAAATTTAGTCTTTTCAATAATTATTTCATATTTTCTACTTTACCATGCACATTTTTGCCTTTCCAGAGTTCTAGTGCATATTGTCCCTTCTTCCAGAGCATATTGTTGTGCCTTACAGTGCACATTGTTGTACCTTCAACCTTTAAACCTTACCATACACATTTTTGCCTTTCCAGAGTTCCAGTGCATGTTGTCCATTCTTCCCGTGCACATTGTTGTGCCTTACAAGCATGGTTGCAAAAATCGCGCCTAGGCGCTAGGCGGCTGCCGGCCGCCGCGAGGAAGGCCGGAATCGGCCTCCTCCGCGGCCTGGCGGCTGAACCGACGCTGAAATTTTTTAAATTTTTATTTTTATTTATTTATTTTTTTTTTTTTTTTGCGTTTTCAAGTGGAAAAAGTTCGGGAAGGCATAACTTTTGACTCGGTTGTCCGTTTTGGACAATTTTTTTTTTTTAAATCATGTATTTTTTCGAGATCTATCCACCGAAGGCAGTTTGGTCAACTAATTTCTCCAAAAAATGCTTCTTTTGCTCTTAATTTTAGTTTTTTATGTATTTAAATGGTTTCAATAATCTTTTGAACACTTTTACAACCACTTACGTAAATAGTTTGTAAGAAATAACTATGGAAATCTTATATTTTATTATTAAATTTTTAATTAAAAAAATAAAAAAAATAAAAAATAAATACATAATAAATAAATAAATAAATAAATAAAAATAAATCGGAGCCTAAGCGCCTAATGTTTTTTGCCACATTGCTTACAAGACACATTGTTGCGCCTTCAATCTTTAAGATCGTAGGTATTATATATATATATATATATATATATATATATATATATATATATAGGGAAAATTGCACTTTTTCCCCCTTTGTTATATACTTATAGCACTTTTCCCCCCTAAATTATTTAAGTGGCAGTTTTTTCCCCTTATATATTAAATGGACATATTTACCCTTAAAATAAATATTTCATTTATTTTTCTTCTCCAACAAATTATAACCACGATTTGAAAAAATAAAATACATTAAGTGTTAAATTTAGAATATTTTAAAAATAAAAAAAATAAAATTTTAAAAGAAAGTTTGAACCAACCGTTCAAATTGGATCCAAAATCGTGAACCGACGGTTCAAAATAAAACTCAAATCGCGATTATATATACTTATATGTGAGAGTCAATATAAATGCGGAAAAAAACATGCACTATTTGCAAATATTATAATTCTAATTTAAGCTATTGCTAGTAGTTGTTCCGATTTGAACCTCCGGTTCACGGTTTAGGATCCATTTTTTTCCAGTTCACGATTTTAATAAACGGAAACCCAAATATTGGGTTATGTTATGAATAATAACCGAAATTTTTTAATTTGATTGCTATAGTGTTTGGTTCAGTTCGAACCGAACCGTGGTCATCCCTACGTATAAGCAATAATTTGGTGAAGAAGAGAAATAAATAAAATATTTGTTTTAAGGGTAGAAATGTCCATTTAATATTATCAGGGGGAAAAACCGCCATTTCTATAATAATTGAGGGGGCAAATGTGAATGCATGAATAACTCAGGGGGAAAAAGTGCTATAAGCATATAACACAGGGGGAAAAAGTGTCATTTTCCCTATATATATATATATATATATATATATATATATATATATATATATATATATATATATATATATATATATATATATATATATATATATATATATATATATATATATATATATATATAAGAGCATTTGATCTTGAATAAATCACTAATTATTAATTTTAGTTGAATATTGTAATATTTTATGATTTGTGTTAAAGATCGTGTATTAAATTTAATCTGTCAATAGTTGTTGCATATTTTTGTGCTTTACAATGCACATTGTTCCTCCTTCCAGTGCACATTGTTGTGGCTCGCATGTGACGAAATCTTTCTTTTAAAGATGAGTTAATGAATGATTGATGAACCCCTATATATATATATATATATATATATATATATATATATATATATATATAAAAGTAGTTGCACCAATAGTTATAAATAGTTGCACATATAGTTATAAGCACACCCAGGTGTATGAATGTTAGCGGAAAGTGAATGCTAACAAGGCAAAATTACATGCACTTATAGGTGAAAGTAGGTGCGCCTATAGTTATAAGTAGTTGCACCTATAGTTATAAATAGTTGCACATATAGTTATAAGCACACTCAGGTGCATGAATGTTTGCGGAAAGTGAATGCTAACAAGGCAAAATTACATGCACTTATAGGTGAAAGTAGGTGCACTTGTAAGTGATTTTACTTGCACTTCGATGTTCAATTATTTACGAAAATGTCACCGCGTTTTTTTTTTTAAGTTATTAGATCTGGACACGTGTCGCACGCTGATTCGTTCGCATTTCCCTCCTGAGCACTTATTCGCACCTGAATGCATCCCTATATATATATATATATATATATATATATATATATATATATATATATATATAATTTTATTCTTAAGCTATTGCTGGCTGTAGTCATATTCCAATCTCAAATAAAACAAGTTAGCAAGTGCGTGCTGCATATCTCCACGAATATCCCTATTCCCAAAACCAGATATTCCTTGGCTCAACACTCTAAAGATTCAATTAGCTTGGTTGGGATGAGTGGTCGCTCACTCTCGTTCATTATTAAGAGAGGTCATGAGTTCGAACGCCTTCTCGAATGAAAAAATCAATCTGGCCAACACTTTGTTCTTTAATTGGACCGACCCAGTACGAACGAGGATTAATCTAACTATTGCTAAAACACTTTGTCCCTTAATAAAATTATACGGAGTGTGTATATATATATATATATTGTGTAGGTTTATTATTAATTTAAAATTTTAATTAAAATATAACATATCATTCAATTTTGATCAAAGGCATGTACAAATTATATTTTAAAAAGCATTAAGGTACATTATTTTATAGTATGTAATGCTTCTTCAGTTTTTTTTTTTTTTTTTTTTTTCATATTTAATTTTAAGAGTTTCACATGATTCAATATTGCATTGAAATGAGTAATTATGTGAATAAAACATGATTCTCTTACGAATCATAAATTTGAATTATCACATTCACACCAAAATTGATACTGACGCACTAACGATATGAAATTACCTTGACTCACACAATGGCCACAAAATATTTTATTTGTCCAAACCCATACACATGTTTGATAACATAACATATTTTTGTATTTTCCATATTCAAATTTGTATAAATTTTAAAATTTTAAATAAAATTGAAAATGCATTCAAATTCTATTATTTTAGGTTATAGAATATATATATTTATATCAATCTTTATTGGTTTTGGACCTTTATTTGCCACTTAAATGCATTAGATTTAACTATAAATTTTTTTATTTTTTTTTTTTAGAAAAAAGGAGGGGAACACCCAAGGTCAATATCTGATCCTCACATTGACACTGCTACCAAGAAGCCCAAGCTCGTCCTCACGGATGAAGCGTTGCATGTTCACGGTAGTTTGCTCGTAGACTTGTTCCTCCCGATCATCGTCTAGAGCCATGCTAGAGATGAGGTCCGCCAACCTATTTTGCTCCCTTGGGATATGCCTAAAGATGATTTCCCAGTTCCAAGTTTCTGTATAATTCAACTAAGTTTCTTCCCGGGCCGTTGTATTCATCATCCCTGCTTATAAGATCGATAGCTTTGGCACTGTCAGGTTCTACAACAATTTTGTTGAAACCTTGATCCCTTGCTTGCTTGAGGCCATTATAGATGCCCCAGAGCTCAGCTTCCAGCGGTCCACACAACCCCAGCTGGTTGGAAAAAGCCATTAAGAAGTTAGCTTTCTCGTTTCTGATGACGCCTCCACATGTTGCTTCGTTCTTGCTCCTGCTCCAACTGCCATCCGTATTCATCTTGATCCAGCTAGTAGGTGGTGCAGACCAAAGGTTATGTCTTATGGTTTTCCGATTTTGATTATTCTACCGCGATATCAACTTACTAATAATTAAAATCTCATATTTAGATAAAAATTTAGAAATAATATTACCTTTCTCTATCTGAACAATAAATTATAATTGAATGTGTTGGCCATTATTATAATACTAATTTATCTCTAAATCTCTAATCTCATTTAGTATAATAATACCAATAGAGTCAAATCAAATAACTTCTCTTTTTTTTACTATAATAAGTATCATCATTATTATTGTCGAATATTTTATTATGGTAAACAGATATTTGTACTATTGTAAAATATAAAATATAAAATATAAAATAATAATAATAACAACAACAACAAAAATAATTTTTTTTTATTTCACTACAATATTTTAATTCCATCTCATGTATTTAATTTGGTTTGGTTAATTATATATTTTTTTATAAATTAATATTTATTTAGTATTTGTAAATAAAATTCATATATTTAAAAAAGATATTAAAAACTTATATTAAATACAAAAGACAATTTTATAAATAATAAGAAAATATTAACAAAATAAAAAGAAAAATATACATAATTTTATCTATAATTAAAATTATCATTAATGTATATGAACTTTCGACATATATTCATATATATAAAATTATCATTAATGTATATGAACTTTCGACATATATTCATATACAATTAATTGTAAATCACCTACCTATGTAATTATCTTGTTATCGTTCCCCATAATCACCTTACCTACCTACATTAATATTATTATTGTCTGTATTATAATCACCACAATTATAGATAGATTCGGAGTATTTGTTAATTTTGGAAAAAAAAAATTATTTTGAATTTAAAAGGAATAATATTTTGTAAAAAATTTAAATAAATTCCCATCAGTAAATAGATTCAAACTCTGACTCAGCTGCTACCTAGTGCTGCTCGTTTCAGAGATACGTCGTCGTTACGAGCAATCATCTCCGGCAATTACAAATCCTTAACTGAGAAGACCAAAGAAAACCATTCGGTCCTTTAAAAACCGTGAACGCAACAAAGAAAATTCAATTCAGCTGCAAAGATTTCACCTTTCCCTGAAAAGCGTTATAGAGAGAGAGAGAGAGAGAGAGAGAGAGAGAGAGAGAGAGAGAGAGAGATGCAGACGGAGGCGAGGAGAGCAGGTGTGGCGGTGGAGGGAGGCGGAGGACAGATGGCGCTGAACGCGGGGCATGGGGCGGTGGTGGTGGACGGTGGCGCCGCGCGTAAGCTGATCAAGCAGCACCAACAACAGCAACAGCAGCGGAGAAGCCAGCAATCGCAGATCGGAACCATATCGCAGCTTCTCGCCGGAGGCATAGCCGGCGCCGTGAGCAAGACTTGTACGGCGCCGCTTGCTCGCCTCACTATCCTCTTCCAGGTTCGTAATTTCTCTCTCTTTCTTCTGCTTACCCTTCTGTGTATATGAATTTTATTCATCTATCGTCATTTCTTTGCATTCTTTGAACTGATATCTAGTAATCCTGGGAGGCTATTTGGGCGTCTCGCTATTTATCTCTTCCAGCCCCTCTTGTCAGGGTTTAGGGGCTTAGGATTAGTCTAGTTTAAGCTGGAAACCTAAACCTAATGTATAAAAAAGGGTTTAAATTTGTAAATTAACAACAACATTGTCTTTGTACTCTCAGAATAAGAAAAATGTGTTCTTTAGAAAATATTAATCCTCAATTTTTATTTTCTTCCCTACTTTTGTGTTGATGCAAATATCAATTTCAGTGTTTGGAATTTATGCTGCCACACTACATTCTAGATTATAATGTTAACATCTCTTTGCTCCAATCTAATAGGTGCAAGGAATGCACACGGATGCCTCAAACTTAAAAAAGGCTTGTATATGGAGGGAGGCTTCCCGTATTGTTCGTGAAGAAGGGTTTAGGGCGTTCTGGAAGGGAAATTTGGTCACAATTGCTCATCGGCTTCCTTACTCTTCTATCAGCTTTTATGCGTTTGAGCGTTACAAGAATGTTGGTAGACTTGTCCTATGAACAGTTTATGTTATGGTTTTTGGAAAGACTAACTAATTTATGTTGTACACAGCTTCAAATTTTAAATTTTGACTGTTTTCTTTGATCAATTGTGTCACAGTTGTTGCATTTTATGTTGGGAGTTGAAGGTCAAGGAGAAAGGTTTAGTGCGGATATTTGTGTACGGCTTGTAGGCGGTGGTTTGGCTGGGATTACTGCTGCTTCTGTTACATATCCGCTGGATCTTGTCAGGACACGTCTAGCTGCACAGGTAATAGACTGGTCTTACTCTGCTTAACATATAGTCTCATAGAGCTTTTGTCTGTTTCCTTTCTTTTTGCTATTTTATATATACCCTCATCTTGAAATACTTGACTGCAGACAAGTGTAATATACTATAGAGGTATATGGCATGCCTTACGTACCATAAGAAGGGAAGAAGGTGCCAGAGGCCTTTATAAAGGACTTGGTGCAACTCTATTGGTATCGTTTTGCAACTCTAATTCTTCTTGCTTGTCAAAAAGACTTCATTTCGATAAAATATTTGGCTGCAGAATGCTGCTTTTGTTTTGTTGTTTCCTGATTGAGCTGTGTATTTATGCAGGGTGTTGGTCCTAATTTGGCGATTAGCTTTTCAGTTTATGACACTGCAAGGACCTATTGGCAGGATCATAGGTAATCTTTTCTAAATATGCTTCTGATTTTGAGTGTACTAAGGTGGTTAGTAAATAATTATTTGATGGGCTTACAATTTCTGTTTGTTCATATTTTTTTCTCTTATTCTGTAATGGTAGTGATTTAACACTTACATGTTGATGCCAGGCCGGATGATTCTATGGCTTTGGTCAGCCTTGCTTGTGGTAGTTTGTCAGGTGTTGCATCATCAACAGGTACCAAATCTCATTATCATCAAACAAAGAAAAATATGTTAGAATAGTACTTTGAAATTTAAGCATGTTACACTGATGTTGAAATGTTGAATTAATTTTTGGTTGTTGGAGGACATCTCAATAAGCTCGATAATCATGTTTGTGTGTTCTTAAAAAGAAATCACTGTTTGTTTTTAGTAGTATTGCAATTAGAATTTATGCCAATTTTAGGCTGCCTATACCGATAAACCTCATCTTAAGCCCCTGCTCTGCACAACTCGAATGGCATGATGTTGGCAATATCTTCCTTTTGTTTAACTTTCATTAAAAATTCACAATGCCAAATTGCCTTGCCATCCCTTGATGTCATGGTTTTGAACCACGAACATCACAAAGCAAAGTGGTATCATGCAAAATAGTTCAAACAGCGTGTAAGGAAACTGGCTGTAAAGGTCTATGGACTATTGAGCAGAAATTTTTATTCTTTTGGCAATTTTTTCTGCTTCTGCCATGTATTCTAGTAGTTATCCTTTACCCATAGATTATTCAACAGACGTAAGGTTGTTGCTTTGAATTATTATATTATTGAACAGTTATTAAAGTATTTAATCGTAGATGTTGATGCCTGTAGCTGTCTTCAATGCTTTTGATGCAGAGAAGCAGGTTGAGGTGCAGGCTTGTTACTTAGTATCTAACCCTTAGAGCTAAAGTTACACCGTGTATGTATGGCATACGGGAATTTTAGTAAGAACTGAGAAAGTGCAACTTGCTTCTTGTCTTTCACAAAACTAACTTGTTTTTCAATATCAAGATGTTACTCCTACATATATGGGATAGCTTGGCTCTCCAAACATGCAGTTGGCTCTATTATGATGTGGCTATTTCAGGAGCCTCTATCTGCTGTTGCCAAACCATGAGAGGCGTCCTCTTTGAGGTATGCTTCTCAGTTAGGTTTCACGTGTTATTTCTCCCTAATTAACACTAAAACCTCAAAAGTTGGAAAGCATTTCTGTGACCAGCCTTTTGTTGACAAATTGACGTGTCTGTGAAAAATTAGTCAGAACAACCACCTGTGGTGTATTTCCCAAAATTAAAGGGGAGGGTACCTTCTTAACCCCATGAGCTTATTTGCAGAGTGATATAGAAGGACCTGTTTATAGGAAATGACTGGTAATAGGAATTAAAAATAACAGGGAAATTGAGATGAATGAATGCAATGTGCTGAAACATCTTCCACCGTCCACCAAGAAATGACTCACATCCAATGCAGCCACAGCTATTATATGCTTGTAATACCATCATTTTTTTCTTTTTGTTGCTCTTTTGGCTACTTTGCTCTCTGTACCACCTTGGTACTGGTAAGGCAAAAGTTGTTTGGCATTGTGAAGAAATGCATCTCTAATTTTGGATTTTTTTTTTTTCATAATAGAATTGAGGAAGGATATAAATGGCCAATCGGATTTCCCCCCTGTATTGTATGTTAATAATTAAAATTGCTTCATGTCTGGAGGAGACTCACTTTCGATTTCTTTTCCTGGTTTGTGTACTTTTTGCAGTGACTTTCCCTCTGGATCTTGTTAGGAGAAGGATGCAGTTGGAAGGGGCAGGTGGTCGTGCTCGTGTTTACACGACTGGTCTCTTTGGTGCATTTAGACACATAATCCGCTCAGAAGGGATTCACGGGTTATACAGAGGAATTCTTCCTGAATATTACAAAGTTGTACCGAGCATTGGCATTGTTTTCATGACATATGAGAAAGTGAAGCAACTTCTGTCAGATATACCTTCGTGATGGTAAATCATCAAACAAGGCTGAATATAGGTCGCTTATATATAGAAAAACCCAGGGATATAGTTTAGTCGAAAGAAAGAAAGAAAAGCTTATGATGCACCAGATTCTCGGAATTGCTGGCTAATTTTTGCTCGATTTGCAATTGTTGACCGGAAAGTGTATTATTGCATGTGTATTGTACCTAGAGGAGCACACATTTGATTATAAATCTCAAATGTGTAAACACTGCTATTCACATTAACGATCTTTATAGCATAGCAGGCTATTAGCGATACAGGTCACTGTTGTACTATTTTACATTCTTTTACATCAACATTGTATTTGATTCTTTAAAGCAATTTCAGAAATGGTAACTTGCTTCACAGTTTACAGTTCCTCCTTGCTTCCTCCTTTTGGTGACAACTTTTATGGCTTTTCCAGTTTGCATTTTTGTTGATGACCATGTTCAGGTTGTGTTTACATGAAACAATTCATTGCAACACAAGTTTTGACATCAGAGTAGCTCTGGCTCAGTTGGTTCTTGGGTGACATATTGGGGATAAAGATGTAAGATCGATATCTTGTAGGGGTGGCTCTTTGTGGGCACAGACACTAGTCTTCCCACCTACTGAGCTGTTGAGCCACTGTGATTTACCCCTCCATTCTGAGCGAGGGTTTTCACCTTATGTGGGCAAGAGTAAAGGTTTTTTTTTTTTTTTTTCTTGTAAATCAAGTGGATACTCAAGAAAGTTTCTGCAAATAATGTGTCAAGCTTCTTTTATTGCTGTTGAATATGGCAAACTCTGATACAAGACAACCTCATAAACATGTTTTTTGTTTTCTTGTTTGAAGATTACAGGTCAATTTAGCATGTGTCCTCAAGGACCCCAGGAAAAAGTAGGGGGAGTCAATGTAACTCAGTTCTCAGGAGGAACATTCCATTCCATGTTCTTTGACATGCCAGAAGGAAGCATCAGAGCAGATTTTCAACAGGAGAGAGATCAGGGAGGGTGAATGTAATAGAGGTTTACAAGGGAAAATTTCCTGTGAAATGAATGTGATCCAAGGTGCGTCGTAAACCGTACTTATTCACAGCTTCATTGGCTGCTCTAAACCCTCCTCCATAGGCTGGAGAAGTGTCATGAGCTATCTGGTGCATGAAAAACTCTCCCAACTTGTTTTCGGCCCCAGACCTCCCGCCTTTCTTGGATGACGATGATGGCCATGCCGATGAGGAGGAGGACGAAGCTGCTGATGTGGATGGCATGTTTCTGAACCCAGGCATCACCTCTGACTCGAGCCACATGTGAGACAGCACTTGGCATATTCCTTCCTCCACCTCTGGGCTCAGATTTCTGAAACCTGCAGAATTCAATGTAAGTTCTCCCTTCTCTCGATCTCAAGTTGTTCGAATACACAAATTCTCAAGTATACTTACCTTTCAGGCGCAACCACGCATGCATTAATTCATGCGCTAGAATGGCTCCAGTGAGTAATCTGCATCAAGAACACGACGAAACAGGCTCAGAGAGAGTTGTGTGTTGTGTTGAGCATACAGCCATTAATGTGGAATCCAACTATCAGCTTAGGCTTTTAGTTGAGATGAAGCACATGCTTCAATTTGGTATCAGAGCCAGACCAAAGTTCATGGGTTCAAATCTCAGCGCCACCCATAAGCGACAATTGAAAGGGCATGGTTGCAGACTGGAATTACAAGAAATTAAACACTACCTTGGGAGGCCATATAGAACCAAGATGGCTGTAACCTCACATTTTCGGGTTAGTCTCTGAGGCTGTGTTCTCATTCCTACCAGCCCGCCTCGCCCAGCCATTCTTGGCCTTTTCAGTATCTGGATATTCGAGAACCAAAACCATTCATTCAGATTCTACAGGCAACAAAACCAGTTATATAACAATAGAAAATTCGAGTGATTTTGAGAAAAGCATACATACACTAGTAACAGTCTGCTCCTCAGATAAGCAGAGACCCCTGGTTTCAGGCAAGTGATGGAAGCCCTGGAAGTTTTTCAGAGTTAGAAAACGACAAAAATGGCAGAAAACCGAAGAAAAGAAGAAAGAGAAGCAAGCTATATACGTGTTTCTCCCCTTCGATAGCTTCATTAAGGGCGTGCCTTTCAACGAGAAGCATAGGAATTTGCTGGTCGATTTTCATGTTCATGCCTTCATAATAGTCTCTGATGGCATGGTAAAGCGGTTGGCAGTCCCCGGTGTCCATGATAGCAGATTCCATACACTCCAAGCATAAGCTCCGCCCATCTCCAAGCGATATATATTTCGCATCCCATGACTTGAAAAAAGGTCGGAAAACAACATAAAAACAACCATGAATCTGCAGATCGGGTTTTAATCGAGAGGTAGAAAAGATTTCAGCTTGATCCTACCTCGAGGCGCTCACAACTACAGCATCGTGCAGTGACATCACGCTCGTGTGAAGGGCAATATTTCTGAGACCAAAACGGGTGGCATCTATACTCGATCAAACCAGCGCCATTTGTGGGAATCTGAGGATGTGAAATTGGAATAAAGAATAATTTCGAGTTCAAAAAAACAGCAAAAAAGAAGCAGAATGGTCTTACGAATTGATGGCAGACTTCACATTTGGGATGAGTGAGTTCTTTGAAGCACAACTTATGATACGTCTTGTTCCCTGACAGAGAAAACTTGAATCAACAAAGAAAAACCAATAAGAGCTCGATATATAACAAATTTTACAAAAGTTGTCGTCTTTGGAAACAGATTACCTCATGTTCTGTGATTGGATAACCACAGGCATAACAGCAAAAGCATTCTGGGTGAAAGAAAGTCCCCATGCATCCCAAGTAGTTGCCATAGCCAATTTCTCGGTGGCAGCCACCACATACTCTGAAGTAACACGAAGAATCATCTCTAAGATCACAAATCTGAAAAGTCGTCTACACGACTACACTTATATATATGTCAATATTACCTATAGTCTCTTGGATAATAGTCCCTCGGGACATAGGGAGCAGGAGGAGGAGCGGGAGGAGCATAAGGCGGGAATGATGAAGAACCAAGACCATCATAAAGAGACCTCGCTAGATCATCGTTGTCTGCCCATCTGTATCCTGACAAAGTATGAACCACCGCACATTTTCAGCAAAAAACAGGTAAATCTAAACTCTTGAAGAGAACTACAAAGGACAGAGAGAATTTTTTTTAATTTTAACGCAAAAGAATAGGAAAGCTATGCAGAAACAACGGTACCATTTGGCCTCTTCAAATCTTCAGCTTGAGAGCGTGCAATTGCACGGTCCAGTTCCTCCTTTTCTTTATTGGCTCTAGGGCGATCATCCTAGAATGCGGAATCAATAAAAGAAAAACGCATGTTGTTCTTGAACCTCTAGACATGAGAAATTATATGCTAGACATGGAAAATCATAGGTTATTTTTGCATATATCACCCCATCTTCTACATAGCATTTCACCCTCCTTTTTGCAGGCAATTCAAAAGCAGAAAGCAGGTATTTTTCAACCAAAAATTCACAATGCCTTATTTTTGCCAAAACAACTAAAGATGACCATCTACTCTATCCTGGGGCCCAAGAAGGAAAAGCAAGTCAATTAATGACAAAAGGATAATCTTATCTCTTTAATCATCTCAGTCTCAAGTAAAAAAGGACTTTCTAAGGGACAACTCCAGCCAAATTAGTCAGACTGGTAGATATACACAAGGTCACAAGTTCGACTCTCAGCAAGAGCGGCCTATTGGTCTACTTGGTTTTAGTCGGGGCAACCTAGGCTGATTTAACTCTTTGTGGTTCTTTGACAGCTAGGATCACAAGCCATCTGGTAGTGGCCACGGGGTTTCCCTCGTCACCCGAAAAAGGACTTTCTAACACAAGAAAGGTACTAGGCTACTAGCATGCTCAGGAATGAAAGAAAAGAAGAACTCCAGACAAACAAATCAGAAAATAGAGTGATTACCAAGGATCTAATTGGAGCAGGCAAAGCTATATTTTCATCTCCCAGGAGCTGAGGTTGTCGTCCACCTGGCAATCCCCTACTACTTGAACACCCCTTGAAAATCTTACTCAGCCATTTCATAAACCTTGACTTTCGCTCTGCGTGTGAAGAAACAAAGTGCCCTGCTTAAAATCCCACAACCATATTAAAACTCAAAAAAATTTAAAAATCCAATCTTTACAACTTGAAAGCAACACATTGAAGAAAAGAAAAACAAAAAAGACTTAAACTTTAACCCAAACATACCATAAATGCAAGGCTGAGAGAGATGATTGACGCTAGCTGAAGAAGACATTGGCATGTATAAAAGAGGAGCTTTCTGGGTTGGCGCGGGGACGACGAAAAGGGCGGGCAAGAATGAAAATGACTAATGGAGAGAGAATTTGGAACAGTAGAGGGAAAAGGAAGGGTAGAAGAGAAGAAGAATGGCATCATTGATAAGCTTTAGAGAGAGAAAGAGAGAGAATCTGTGGGAGGGAAAAAGAGATTCTTGGCTTGGGGAGAGAAAGAGAAATGGGGAATCTGCTGAGCCGGATTGAGATGGAAAAGGGGAATGGGGGTAAAAAGGTGAGACTACAGAGTGGATTTCTGGACGGCTCAGAATTGCTGGATTGGGGGATTTGATGGAGAAATCTGATCAGTTATGCAAACATTCAAGAATCAAGAATTTCTTCCTAGCTACAGCTACTATGGCCGTCTGAATATTTTGAAGAGAAAGTTGCCGGGGAAAAGCAAATGGAATTTAACTATTGGCCCTTCTTTTTTTCTTCCAAATTACAACACTCACCCACTTAATTTTTATCCCCCATTTTCGATTTTATTTGGCGATTAGTAGTCAGTAAATAACAAATTGTAATAACTTCGATACAATCAATTCTTGTCATGTCAAGTGAAAATTTAGTTGATAGAGAAGCAAACTTTTGGGCGTGCACTTCTCAAAAACTGAGAAAAATCACTATTGTAGTTGCTCTTACAAGTTTGGAGATAGTGTGTTGATTTTATATCCTATTATTTTTCTCTATAAAATTCTTACAAATAGATTTTAATGTTTACAACGTTTATTATTATGTGACATGATAATGCCACATCTCTATTTTGGTGACTAATATACATACATATACACACATGCATCAATACGTGTGCGCGTGCATATACTCATATAGAGAGTATGTTTGTGTTTTTAAGTGTGCACGTGCATATACTCATATACAGAGAGCATGTTTGTTTCTTTACGATCGATTTTTACATTGATTGATGTATTTTACCGCTTAGAATTATTTATTTATTTATTTATTGAGATTGGGATTAAAAAAAAAACATAATATTGTTATAATTAATTGTGTAATTGGGATGTCATCTTTGATTTCTGTTTATGCAACTTTGGAAGCAA